CATGTAAAATGGGTATTGGCATTTTGCAACGAGCACAATGTAACTGGGGAAACCTAAATGTAATCCCTGACTCACAAAATGAGGCGTTCATTTGTATGGACTTTGGAAATATGTCTCTCAGAGAGAAAGCAAGAGCTGATTTATTTTATTAAAAAGACTAGTTCTCCCCTGACAATCTAACTATATTAGTTTGAAAGAGTCTGGCAGGAAAAGGCTCTTGCCAAAGAGTGATGTTTTGGAGAAAGAAGCCTCATTACAGAGGAAAAATGAGGAATATGTACCTTTCTAATATAATTAGCTAATCTTTTCTCATCTGCTGGGCCTTGGGGATTCCTAATTCCATGCTGACAGTTCCACATGAGCCATGTGCTGCCTTTGAGCAGGGCAGCCGGCTGCTCCCCCAGGCCCCGCAAGACCCTGTGGGAGGAGAAGAACCTGCCAAGCCACAGGGCTCCCTGCCTCACGCCGCCCGAGCTCTGTGCGCAAAGCCCATGGGAAAGGATGGGTCAGTGACACAGATTAATTTCAACGCCGCTCTGGTCAGGAAAGCACTTCTACCTGCCTCACTCTCACGTCTTTAGAGGGTTGTAGGTTTGCCTAAAACACACCTAAACATTCATTTTTTAGGAGCTTGCAGGCCGTTCGCCGCAGTAAGCTGCGTGCCTGGAGGCTTGAGCACAGTTGCATCCCTGGCTGGTGGGGGAAGACACAGATCCTGCAGCAAACACTGCCTGCAGTGCTATACTATGAAGTACTTTAAGGTGTCGTTTTTCTCTATTAAAAAAAAAAATGCTGCACTTGATTTGTTTCTAAGCTAAAACTTAGCTTTGGTAAAGTACAAAATCAAAGCAACAAAACCACTTCATACAGGCCTGCAGAATTTCAGGGCTATTTTCTAGGAAAAAAAAATTATAAACTTTTTTGATGATAATCAATCATAATTGATTTTTAGTCTAATAACCCTTATATTTACATTTATTTTTAATTATGAATGTTATAACCAAGACCAAATAAATTACATCAAGCTAGTGAATCTGTCACAATCAGTATGACTATCTTACAGCTTATCATTTTTAGTTAATACTTATTTTGTATCATATGCTCTCCTATCACAGTATAAGTCAATGTTTATCATGCCTTGAAATAAAATCCTAAGATTTAAATGACTCTCAAAGACCACAGACTCCCATGGAATAACCAGTGGCTGCAGAGCGCTGATATTAATAAAGAAATGCAAGCAGGTCAGGAGCAGCAGCAGTGCATGCCCCAGCTCGCAAGGGGAACCAAGTGTGACCCAGCGGGGCCTCACCTCCTGTCCTTGCTGTGACTGGGGAGGATACAGGACCTTTCCAGCCGTGTTCAGGCTAAGCAGTTAGAGCCCTGCAGCAGTTACCTCCAGCTGCTCTAGGGACAGAGCTTCTTAGTTCTATCTAGAAATACCTCAGTGTTTAAAACCTGGCATGGTAAAATTGAGTTCCTCTGAAATCCACTTTCCACAGGTATTTTTACTATGATGTTAGAAGGGCTGGTATATGTCTGCTATATGTGAATGAAAAGGAGCCATAAAAGGGTAAAACCTTCCAAAAGGAGGAAACAATTTCTATATTCACATTTTTCTTATCCTTAAAACAATTAGTTGAATAATACCAATATGTCTTGCAGAAATACGTACCAAAAGATCACAATAGATAATACTCAAAAGTCTGTGTCAGATAGTACATTTACATGGGCTTCCATAAGGGCTATCTGTAACATAGGGAGTGAGGGAGGCTGTTTGGGGAGCAGGATCTGACCTATGTGAGTTTTCATCCCAATCCTTATCTTGGACTGCCCTCTAGCGAAATAACAATAGTTACAAAACCCTGATCTAGTCTAGCTGATGCTATTAAAAAAAGAAAAAAAAAAAAAAAAAAAAAGCTTACTTTAATCTTCGTTTGTTTCTTAGTATGGCAAACAGGTATGACTGCGAGTAGTGAATTATTTGCATGCAGGTCCCTGTTTGTCGCTTCCCATAAATTTTAGCTCATTAATAGTTTCCACAAGCATAATTTAGGTGATTACTTGCTTTCTGATCTATATTTGACATGTTTCCAAGCATTTTTGCTTCTTCTTCCTTCGCCCACCCCAAGTGACAACTCTACTGACCTGAGAAGACTGGAGTTGGGACTTTAAGGAAGTAAGAACCAGAAGGAATACTGTTAATCCTGGACAAGGCAAGGGACAGAACATAATCTCACATAATTAATGATTTAAAGGCAACTTGATGAAACAAAAAACAAAAAAACAACAAACAAAAAAAAAAAAAAAAAGAAGAAAACATCTAAAAGCATATTGAAAAGAAACATTTGCAGGATGCAAGGTCAAGGCAGAGCACACCAAATTCTCCACATGGGTCACCAAAGGGCTTGTGCAGAGCCATGTGCCCCCCTTGCGCCAAGGAGGAGGTGTGAGGAGGGCAGCACAGAGGCCGTGCAGCCGCAGCGGTACAAGTGCAGTCAGCTGCACCGGTTCACAGGAGGTGCTTGAGAGACTGAGTGAATTGGGCCTGTTTTCTCTGGAGAAGAAAAGGCTGAGAGGGGATATAATTAACATGTATAAGTTCATGAAGGGAGAATGCAGGGAAGGGGACAAGCTCTTCTCATTGGTGGCCTGCGATAGGACAAGAGGAAATGGGTATAAGCTGAAACACAGGAAGTTCCATCTCCAGGTGAGGAAGAACTTCTTTACTGTGAGGGTAACGGAGCCCTGGCACAGGCTGCCCAGGGAGGTTGTGGAGTCTCCTTCTCTGGAGGTCTTCAAAACCCACCTGGACGCCACCCTGTGCCACATGCTCTAGGTGTGCCTGCTTCAGCGGGAAGGTTGGACTAGATGATCTCTAGAGGTCCCTTCCAACCTTGAATATTCTGTGATTCTGTGCTGCAGGACACCGGGAAAGGTGGCAGGATAGCAGGATACACAGGCCTGCATGTGCTTGACCTCAGCAGTAGCAAAGTATGGAATGGAATTTGTAGTAGAGGCCTGACGTTTTGACCAAAGGAAATCAGATCGAGGGGTTTAAATGGAAATTGTTTTCATCAGCACAGCTGTCTTTAGGGACCAAATTCAGCTGCTAATATAATTTGGCAATAGGAATAAAACAAACTGATCTTGAGAGCTCAAATGCTTGCCAAGAACTGCTCTCTAGAGAATTTCTCTATTTCTTGCATCAAGTACATCAGAATAACTCACTTTTTACACCTATTAGTTAACATCACTTACTTCTGCTCATCTCCAGCTTTAGTTCATAATTGCTCATTTTTTCAAAAAAAAAAGATTATTTTTACTCTTGCATCATACCTATATCTTTATTTACTCTGCTTCTCAAATTTTAGCATACTATGACTCTTATCTAAGTCCATCTGCAATAGCTCCCAATAACAGATAAGCCCCAGGAGACAGCTCTCGTTAGCCTGTCCTCCTCCTTTTTTTAATCACACTGCTGGAATTTACACGACAAACAGTTAAAGCAATGTGGCCACCTAGCGTAGACACTTAGACCTGACCAATATTGTTTTATTTGTAGAGATATTTTTCTCAATTTTTAGGGAGACATAAATAAAAAGTCATGCATAGATTTAACGGAATAAGAAATGTCATTGTTGAGACCTATGAGTTGGTATAGGTAATATATATTAAGAGTTTATATCACTGAACCTATCTCACGCTTCCAGGTGATACAGTTGAAGTAGTAAGTAACTTCAGCCATCTAAGTCACTAAGCCAGGAACATCAGGTGATGCTTCACAGTCAGAAACAAACATTAGAATTATTTTGTTTGTATTTCTGTTCGCATATTTCTACTTTGTTTTAGTTTTATATTTACGTTTCACCCATATTTTGTCATTTTTCTGAGCCACCTTCTTTTTTATCCACAAAATCTGACTTTGCATCATGTCTGGTTTCTGTTCCTTCTGCTATCCCTTTCCCTGTTTCCCCGGAGAATCGGGAATAAGCGTGGGCTGCAAGCACGCTCTGGAGGCAGCAGGCCACACCACCAGCCAGTGGGAAGAACCAAACAGGGGCCTGCATGCATATAATGCACATAATTCACTACTCACAGCCATACATCAGAGTTTGCCATCTTTGAAAAGAACTGTTTAAAATATTCCTAGAGCTGTTGTGAGATTTTTAGAACGAATTCATTACAGAAAATAATTCAGTGTTGAATACCTGTATAAAACCATCTATCACTTCTGACAGAGAATTTTACCATATAGATACTTTAGGCGAAAGCACTCTTATGTGATAAGAATTTGTGAAATAAACTAGCAAACTTATATTACCTCTCATTAATAAAACATTAACTATTTTATTTAAAAATCATAGACTTCACTCTATTAGCATCACATAACTTTCTCACTTTTACATCTTGAGGCTTATCTGTTAAGATAATTTCCTTAATTAAACACACAAAGCACTAACTCAACCTTCAACCAAATAAGAAAAGATTCAGTGAAATCATGGAGAATTTATGTGCTTCAAGATAAGCTAATACTATATTCCACAGAGATTTTTAAACCTGTGATAGTGTGATATCCCTTCTTGCACCCCACCACTACAGTCTGTGGTGGAACTGATTTTCAGCAAGCTCCGTGCGTTTGCACTGGCAATGTTTGCACATGTGTCGGTGAAGAGATGGAAGCTTTGACAGTTGCCTCAGTTATTAAAAAGAAATAAACTACCTGTCGCTCGGCGCGGTCACCAGATCGCTCCCCACAGCTCGCTACGCGGCGGGCGCTGCGGCCGGCGGCAGCAGGGCCGGCTGCAGCCCGCCGAGCTCTCCCTCTGCCGCCAGAAAACGTTTTTTCCGTTAATTTTCGAATCCCACCCGCGAGAGCGACCGTTGACCGGGGGCGGGGCAAGAGGGCGGCGCGAGGGGCGGGGCCACCCGAGCCCCCTCCTCCCGGCAGCCAGGCGCATGCGGTCCTCGCCCGGCTGCGGCCGTGCGCAGGCGCCGCCGCCGCGGAGCTGCCGCCATGGAGGGTGAGCGGGGCGCGCGGAGCGGGGAATGGGCGGGCGGCCGGGGCCCGGCCCGGCTGACGCGGTGCCGCTCCGTGCCTTGCAGGTCTGCTCTACAGCCGCCTGTCCGGCGGCGCCGCGGGGGAGCTGAGCGCGCAGGTACCCAGGGGAGCCCGTGGAGGGGACGGGAGGGCGGGCGACACCTCCGCGGCCGTGGAGGGGACCGGGGAGTGACGAGGCCGCCGCTCCGAGCGCCTCGCGCCTCCCCGCGGCGATTTTGGCATCGCTGCCACTGGCTCCTTCCACGTACCTGCTGTCAGCTGCAGGGCCCCGAGGAGGCCAAGGCCTTCGTGAGCGCCTTCCTGAAGCGCAGCATGCCCAAGATGAAGGACGAAGCGATCCAGGACATGCTGACTCGCAAAGCTGTCGTCCTCGAGCATTACTCTAAGAAAAAGAAGAAAGGGAAGAGGAAAAAAAGAAAAGGTTTTACTGCCAAGGAAAGGCGAGAGCTGCGGCTTTTTGAAATTGAGCCTGAACAGCGAAGGTATGACCTTAAAGACTGTGCAGTAAAAGCCGGAGAGTTCATCAAAATGCGTAAAAAGCAATGACAAGTACATAGGGATGAAATGTTTCAGTATATAGTACTTATTTTGCCACCAAGAGAGCAGTTTTCTTTGCCTACATATTTGGAAAAGTGTTTGCTGCTGGGCTCTGTCCTTTTGTATGCGTGACTCATGAACACAACATCAGTGATTGCAGGTGAGAACAGGAGACATCCTGTGAGCAGAGAGAGAACCAGAGTGTGGCAGCAGTCCCTGTAGCTGACGCAGGCTGAATAAAGCCCTTGCCTCAGAGTCCTCTAACTCACAACAAACACAGCCATTACTGTTAGCAAAAGGGTAGAGATTCATAAAAGCACAAACTTCAGTCCCTAAGAGATGCAGCCATATCCTGTAAAATACATCACTATTTTGGGTAGATGTTGGTTGGTCTACTTTATATGAACAGATCTGTTGCTTGCAATGGTTTCCCTTAGGCTCACCTAGAAGTTGAGAGAGCAGATTATGAAATGATCAATGTTAGTATTACCTCTGTAAATATGCATTAATACTGTTATCAAGCACTTCTGATAAATAAGTTCTTGAATAATGTTTCTGCTTTTTACTGTAGATATGCACTCTTTCTACCATTGCATGAACTCTGGAAACAGTATATCAGAGACCTGTGTTACGGACTTAAACCAGATGCGTAAGTGGAGATACTCGTGGAATTTGTCTTCTAAATTCACTAGATAGCGCAGCTTACTGAGCTACTACTTGAAACAATGTATCCTGGATAAGGAAACATTCTGTTTCTGCAGGCTTTGATATGTTGTTAATGGTTATGTTTTGTAAGCCTCCCTGTCCATATGTTTTTCTTTCGCTCTCACCCCATTCAGGCAACCCCAGATGATTCAGGGCAAACTGCTCAAAGCTGATCTCCACGGTGCTATTGTTACAGGTACTTGGTTTCTTTTCCTTTTCAAAATTACCTGAACTTCAGTAGACACTACTATATTTCAGATGCCTACTTTTAAATTCCTTTTAGTATCATCAATACTAAAATTACAAAGTATAGAGATCATATGGTGACTACATCTTCCTCTACTTAGCAGTGCTTAAGTGCTCTTAAGACTCTTAGCTAATCTTTGTAACAAAGTTTAAGAGCTATTACTGTGGTATTTTTCAGAATAAATTTAAGTATTCTATATATTACAAACTAGTTTCTACACTCATGAAGCAACTGTATAGCAGCAATCAAACTGCTATGATCAGAAAATTATATCTATATATATATCTATCTATATATATATATCTATCTATATATATCTATATATATATATCTATATATATCTAATATATGCATATTCTTGGTTTTTTTGCAGTAACAAAATCGAAGTGCCCCTCTTATGTTGGGATAACAGGAATCATCCTACAAGAAATGAAACACGTCTTCAAAATTATCACTAAAGAAGACAAATTAAAAGGTATGAAAGCCAATTTTCACAATTTGAATGATCTGAAATATTTCTTAAATGCAATATGCATCTTGCATCTGTATAATTTTGATTGCGTTCAGTGAGTACTGACCCCGTAACAGCCCAAGATCTTGCCAGACAGATGAGATTTCCTAAGAATTCAACATTATCTAGGTGGCTTAGATTCATGTGACTTGTAAGTTGTTCTCTGTGATACTTTTTTACTGCATGACGCTGCAAACAGGAATAGAGTAATTCCCATGTAAAGCCTGAAACATTTAACATTATTTTCCATTTCCTGCAAAAAATTAAATTTAATATGTTACTTATTAAAAACTAGTCCACTTCTAAGTTCTTCACTTTTTAATTTTCAGTTGTTCCCAAACTCAACAATGTGTTTAGCTTGGAGATTGATGGATTTATTTCCTACATCTATGGAAGCAAGTTCCAGTTTAGAGCAAGTGAACGATCTGCAAAAAAGTTCAAGTTGAAAGGAACTATTGACCTATGATTTCATGGAAATGCAAAAGTATTACTAATAAGGCTGTTGCTTTCATGCAGTTTAAAGACCATTTTTGGCATATTGAAAATGAAGTGACTGATAATGTATCTTTCTAAAGCATTTCTTCATACTGAAGAATCACTAGAATGTGTTTTGTCTTAAACTGCAACAGTCTGAGACTGCTTTGCAGTTGCATCTGTTTTGTTACATGTAAATAATATTCTGACTTATTAAACTTTTCTGATTAGTATGGATTACTTCTGTCTCAAGTGTAATTTGCACAATGAAAAATAATTACATCCTACAACTTCATTATTGTTGCCTTATGTATAAGTTAGGCTGCATCTTATGCTTGTAAGGAGACTGACAACTGCTCTTCTAAGTTCACTATTCCCAGCTTTGCATTAACACCAACATTTTTGTGCAGCACAAGCATATGCAACTTAGTTATACCAGCTGAAAGCTTTTTACCTTGAATATCTTCCCCCTGAGTGATCATGTTAAGTTATGTAGACAAGTGAGCAAACAAAAACTGACTATGGCAGTTTATTGCTCTCATAATAAAATTTTAAATACATTAGAGATTATTGGAATAGTAGTTTACAGGAAATGTTGCTGTTTTTTGATCTTATAATTACTCACAATTCTCAACCCAAAGCAACTCAAATGCTGTTCAAGGATCCTTCAAAATCACTGGGAAATAGTTGGACATTACTACAAAAGCAAATTATCAGGGTTATGATAAGTAGTACCATGGAAATAAGTGCTCAATAGTTAAATAACGAAATGCTAAAACATTAGAAAAGCAATAGAGAACAAACAAGAAAAGGGATACCTTGGCCTACTTATGTCTCCTTACCCCATCTCAAAAACAAAACAAAACAAAAAAAAAACACCTCTTTAACATATGGAGAATTTAACTGTTCAGCTTGGCTGCTAAGAGATGGTGCCTAGACCCAGCATAGCATGTGGCTCTTCTGATTTGGCATGAGATCTTCCTATGGGTAGGGGTGTTAATGCTGCCTGGGCTAGCTACTAGACCCCTTTATTCTGCAAAAGGAAATTATTTTTGATATTAAATTCTTAAGATGCATTCAGAAGTGCTGATACTTGCAAGCATTGGTCTTTGCCATCCCCTATGTACCTGTCATGGGAGCACCAGGGTTGGAAGGAGAATACGAGGCCTTAGGAAGAGCTGGGGATACTCTTTCTGGGGAAAGAGATAGCTGAAGCTGGCTGTACCGCTGTGCTCATCAGTCAAAATTGGCACTACATTTTATAAGACAGGCCCTGTTTTTTCACTTGAACAATTTCATAGTGATAGCAAGAAATGTATAAAGCAAAATCACACGTTTCATGAAGTATTTGTCCATCTTAGTAAGAAGCTCTAATTTCATACAGTAAGCTACAACTGATGATTGCTGTTTTATACAAAAGACGACTAAAAATATGTGAATTTGTAATGTAGCTCTACAAGCTGTTTGTAGCTCTTGCTGTCTCACGGCAAGAGAAATACAGGAGGAGTAAATGCTAGAAAAGCTGTTACCAATACAGATGAAACATTTGTAAGTGAAGACTGCAAGCTTCTCCAGGAAATTCATATCTGTGTCAACAAGATAAATGAATGCTGATCAATTTAAGGTACATTATTATTAAAGGTACATTATTATTTCTCTCAAAATTCTTTGAAGTTAAATCCTTTATTTTCTTGTGAGAGTCTAGAAAGAAAAACAAATAAGGAGTAGAAAGTCATAACACAATCTTTCTTTCAGGACAGTGACCTAGTTTTTTCAGGACAATGACCTACTTTTGCACATAGCCTCCAATGCAACATCTAATTAAGACATCTGTTAAATACCTATAATACTAAATTAATAGTGGAAAGCTAATAAAAATTTACTGGCACAGTCCTGTTAATTAACATTTAATGGCTGTCTTAAATAGACATCATTAATGGGAATGCCATACAGTTCATACTGAGTACATCATGTTTTATGGTGCTGTGAAGGATTTACATCCTAACAGCAGAGTCCTGTGCACATCCTGCACTCAAACACAGTAAACTTCCCATTGGTCACAAAGCAGCTTTCTTATAAACTGTGTAATATGAACATGACTGCTCACCTCTGTTACCCTCCTGATTTATGACTATTTTCCCCCTCTCTTCATTAGCCAAGATAGTAAATACTTAATAGGTTTAATATTAGCAAATGAGAGAACTAATCACAACTGCCTCAGATGCATCTTCTTTCATATACTCAAAATTGCATGGAGCAGGGACACATTTTTCCATAATGATTTTTATTCCTAAATTCTCCCTCTTTATTCCCTGGTTAGCCTTTTCTTTAGAGAGAATGAACAAAGATTACTCATAATATGGCTATGCCAGGCAGATACCCTTTGGAAAAATCAGCTGAGATATACACATGAACTGCAGACAAAGCTGGCTTAGGTAGTTTCAACACCATCTGCAAATGTAAGCTAAAAACCCAGAGAGAAAACAATAGTATCATCTTCTCATAGAAACACACTGAAAACTGGCCTGGGATAAGACAGCAGAGGTGAAAACACAGGGCAAGATGGAGCTGAGGAGAAATAATAGAGGGAAAGAGAAGCAGCCTGGTAGGGGAAAGAAATCCCACAGAGCACAACTACAGAGCTCACTGGTGTCTGCCTTGGCTTTGTGCAGGCTTCCATTTTTCTCGGGAAAAATTACTGTGATTTTGTTACAGACTATGGGTTATCCACCAACCACCTGCAGGCTACTGGCTGTTCTCCGGATCTTTACTTCCACTTTTTATCATTTACAAAGATTTTATGAAAACAGAGATGAAACAGAACAGAACACTGCAGAAATGAATATGAAACATTCCTTTACAAGTGAACAAAAGCTACAACATCTCTAAAATTAAGCTATTCACTTTGCAAGGCATATACTCAGCCTTGCTGAGAAGGGCTGAGCTTGCCACAGAGCTCCTGCCAGGTCCACACATTTGTATCAAATGAGCAGCATTTCTGCTTAAAACTCCCTTCCTAAGTGGCATTCCTTGCCTCATCTCATACAACTGGAACAGTTCCTTTTTTTTTCCATCTCCTCCCTTCCTTCATTTTAATTTACTTGAAACACCGCTATGGTGTTGGGCAGGAAGCACTGTGCTCGGATAGGGACTTACCTGGGACACATTCTTGCTCCTCAGCATCAGCAACATGCTTCCAGGAAAAAAGAGAGTTGTCGCCTCAAAATCACCAAGAGCTGCTTTTATTTAAACAGGGCAGTTTTCAGGCCCTGAAGCCCACACTCATTCCCCAATTGCAAGTGCCCCAAAATACAGAGATGGATTTTCTAAGTAACACATGTTGCCAGTCAACTGCCTTCAGCACACTCTGAAATTTCCCCAGCTAATCTTTCCTGGCATCTGCAGTGATATTACCCTTTTGTAACATAAGTGAAGGGCTTCAACAGTCCCTCACCTGTCCGTTTCGGCACCAGCACTCCCCAACAGCCTTGTCCTCCTCAGCCTGTGCCTTGCGAGAGGCTTGAGCACTAACACTGAAGCGGGAAGTTGCTAATACTCAGGAATAGCAGCTTCAGATGGGCCTCCAGCACTGTCACAGATGAGGCAAATGCCCAACACTTGGCCTCATAGACAACATTAAAACTCCAAACAAGCTCTCTTGATATAGCAAACACCTGAACAGTTTGAAAGACTAACACTCATCTGCTGTGCCTCGTATGTCCCCTGTACTGCCTACCTGCACCACAGCCAGCTGGTTAGCGTGCAAGGCCTTTACTTGGTGAGGAAAGCACATTACTGCACACAGACACAATCAACACTCACCTTTGTATGTCTTGCTAAACAGAAACAACAAAAAAAAAAAAAGTCAAGTTTATAAAGCTAAACATACGACAGTATTCAGCAGACCATAGTGCTACATTCCAGGTCCCTAAATACAACTCCAAATGATATGACAAAAGTGACTGCTGTGTGGAATTTCATTCAGGTTTTACCCACCTCTGTCCCACACAACCCCCACCCCAATGCGTTCTGCATTACATTCCCTATAGCGTTTCACTGATGAATATGCCTTCTTTTGGAAAGAAATTTCCCTCAGTGTATTGGCTTAATAAAATTAATTAGTAAAAGTGAAAACTAAAGGATCAAGCACTAGCTGCTGCAGAGAGGAGCAGCTGCACGTGGCAAACGCACCCCCCATCTGCAGCACCAACAGCAGCCAGGGCCTGACACCTACCTCTGCCCAGCCTCTCTGCTGGGGGAGACAGGGAGCTACGGGATCCCTGCAACATCTAACACGGAATTGGAGCCCTCCCCATCGAGAAGCCCTGCTGTTTGTTAGTTTTGTCTTAGTCAGACCAGTACATTACAGTCATTTAATCATTAAGGACAAAAAAAAATCCTGTTGGTAACTCGACCAAAATAATGTGACTTATGGTTTTGAACCAGCCGGGTAAAGGAAAAAGCACAGCCAAAACTTTACATACCCTACCCTGCTCTCCAGACAACAGTTTGTTTTTAACCTATTACTTTTTTCAATTCTGTTGTGAACTATTCCCACAGAATCAAACTCTTGCCCAACACAAGTGATTTAAAACCTGTTATTTTTCATTTCAGATACTGCCAATCTTCTAGAAACCACTGCCTGCTGTAGGCAGCTGAGCAGCATGTTAAAGATTTGCAGCACAGGATTGTCAATACAAATCTCCTCAGGGCACACTAGTTAATAAATACAGCCACATTTCATTCAGTTCTCAAAATAAACTCCTAGCCTCATGACTTATATGCCCACTTCTGGTAGAGATCCTGATCTTAAAATACATGAAGACACACATTTGTATTTCACTGATCTTGGAGGGATTTCATGTGATAGCAGCAAAATTAATATAGTTAGAACATTAATTACGATACTCATATGAGAGCTTCCCTGGAGTACAGTATTACCAGAAACACCAAAGGACATTGGCTTGACCTCAGTTTTTAAGTCAATAATCAAAACTGAACATAAATGCTGAAGCCCTTGTGCACTTGTTAAAAGCAGTTCAGATTTCACAAACAAAACATCACGTATCACCGGGGTCACTTGTCCCCAAGCCAGTGAATCCCAGGTGAGTGACATGTTTCAAAGTCCCTGACGTGTAGCAAGGATGTTCAGAGGAACTTGCTATTAGTGCAAGTCCACCTCTTGGATCAGCACCTTTGAATACAAGTCCCTTGGTCATCCTCCTATGTGTGCTCCAAATCTGAGGCCGCTAAATTGCGCTGTTAGTTTGGGGAGAAGGAAAGCCAGGATTGTGCCCCTCTTGTAAATGTTAAAATAATCCCATAAATCAGAATAATGTTTTTTATTAATAAGGTTGTCTGCAACATACCTATTCTTCCTCTAGAGGATTATTTCAAAACTATGGACTTAGAAATGTTTATCTGGATAGTTCTTGGGAGGCTGAGGTGCTTGCTGAAGAATTTAAATTATGTAATAGCTATTGAACACCCTATTATATGGCTGCCTAATTAATGTAAATGATAGTTATGTCTCACTCACAGAGGATTATTTTACACGGAGGAAATCTACTCACTGCCACAGTAGCCATTTCAATAGTTTTTATAGGAGCAGTTGCATTATGGCTTCACTGAGTAAAAGGTAAGTAGACATCCTAAATAATGAAGATTGAAACTTTAATAGTCACAATAAAGAATCCTGCAGGTTTTTTATTTCAAAAATTAGAGTTTGATTGCAAGCATATGATAATGGGAGGGAAAAGCACCCTGGTATGTGCAATCCTTCTGCAGCCTGGCTCCCTAGGAACTGCCATTTCTTTTGCACAGAATTGCTGAAGAATTAGAAAAAAAGAAAGAGCAAAATAAGCACTTCTTTACTTCCCATGACAGATCATTCTATGCACAGCCATACTGTGGCAGCATTTCACTGTTTCAGTGGATCAGGAATATGCTGGATTGTGCTTGTTATGCTTAGAAAGCTGACATTATTGGAACAGCTACATACAACATACACATAAATATCCTCAAATAACACAAAGTGCCCAGAATTAGACCCATTTGAGTGACGATATGCAGACATAAGCCAGTCTTGCAAACTTGTCTTAGAACTACAGCATCTCTCTCCCCTTTTCTTTCTCTTTTTTTTTTCCTCCTCTGTCTCTTTTCTTGTCTTTGCAAGGTGATAATCAGGGGACTCAGCCTTTCTGTTATGAAATCCTATTTCATGGTTTATATATCAGAGATTATAACAGCTATAAAAAAAATCAGATGAGATTTAAAACTTGGCACGAGCATTCTTGCTTGGGATCTAGTATTTTTAAGCCATTACTTGCAAAGAATGCTAAAAGTTTCTTGTTACTTGCTAAAAGTTTCTGCTGTTACTTTAGCTCTCTGTTGTTATATAATCCTCAGTCTAGGTTCTTGTGCACTCCCCATCACAGTGTTCCAATAATCTCTTTTCACAGCTGCATTTTCAGAATGGTTGTTCTGAGCTAGTACAATTGATTTGACATTTGTTTCTCCAAAAAAGCAAATGTCCAAGAAGGATCTTTAAAAGAACTTCTGTTCCAGTTCAACCACTTTTTCCAGCAATGAAATGCCACATGTGTTTTAACAAGTAAAAAGTGGCAAGAGTGTTAACCTGAATTGTGGTAACATTGACTATGAAACAATCTCTCTGGGGATTTGCAAACACCACCACCAGCCTGCAAAAAATCTGATTTATCAAACACACCCCAGGCTGGATTTGTCATGTTTTTGTACTTTCTAATGAAAGAATTGTATTGTACATTTTAATAAAATATTTATTCACTGGTAGTTTTGTGAAAGGTGACACTCTTGTGGCATCTTTCAGATAGGGGAGATCCCTTTAGAATAAACTCCAGGATACAAAAAGAACAACAGACCCAGAAATGAAAACTTACAAACTTACAACCACAAATGAAATGAAATGGAATGAAGCTAAAGGTTGACTAAGAACAACAGCTTTAGGCTAATGTTGCATCTAGATAATTCCCTTTCATTTCTGGTTTTGCTAAAAAAAAAAAATCCTACAATAAATTTGAGGCTTGTCTCAGAGAACAGAGACATCTTCTGTGGGAAGACTTACTCCCTTGGTTAACAGAAAGTGAGCTCCTAAGGTGAACAGATTGCATAATTAAGCTCAATTAAGTAAGCACAACATGCCCCGTAACAACACTCTCTGCTTGGTGAAGTGCTAAAACAGCACTCTTGATTTCTGGCAATCTACCTCAAGGAATCACCCTTTTCTCCTTCTACCCAGCTACCAGTTCCACGATGCTGTATCATGAATTTTAGCTATTCTGCCAAAGATGTTATCGGAGAGGCAAAGAAAAATATCCTATAGCTACGAGCAGGAAATAAAACAAGTATCTGAGCAGGGGCCATGCTCTGAGCGAACACCCGTTCCATGCAGAGTGTACGGAGGCAACTTCGGAAGGCAGGGCACTTTTTGTGCCACTGGCTCCTGGGCATGTTTCAAAAGAGAGTTTTCATCCCTTTCAGCAGATGGCTTGTAGCTTCAGGAAAGCCCTGTGCTGGGCCACAAGGGCCAGCAGAAAGCAGGAGCCACACAACTAAAGGATGCAACAGCAGTAGGGAGGACCAGCTAAGCCAAGCACCAATATACAGCCTAAGGTATCCAAGAGAACTGCTCCAAACAACAAACCCTGAAGATGTTGTAATATTCCCAGAAGACACCACATCATGCTTTGATTGTATATTTCTTCTTACTATGTTACACATTTCCTAAATTAATTACTGTTTTGCTGCTGCTTTTATTGCAGCTCACATAAAAGTACTACAGAAATTTCCTCACCTCCAGGATAATTCAGTGCCCAGAACAACACATTCCGCTTTGCACTTCTGGTACCAGAAGATGGAGCCATGTACTCACAGTTTCACAAAGTAATTTTTTTTTCTCTGCTCTCATAAAAAAAATCCATGAAGGTGACAGTGCTTAGAAACTGCTTCCTTACCTAATATGAACTTGCTATTTTACTGCACTTGAGTGCACAGCTAATCTGCTGTCTTACCCCATGTCACCTGCCCCTTCTGCATTTCCATAGCAACTGAATATTACTTACTGCAAGTAAATATTTTACAAATTGCATTCTGTATCAAATGAAAACAGCAAATGGAACCAAATTAAAACAGGCATTTCCAACTGGTCAAATATCACACTTCCTATTTCCCTCCAGAAGGGATATATCCCTAAGCGAAATCACGCACACCCCAGAATCATTCATCAATCTCAGACTAACTTCTCATCTTAAGGCAGAAAAAATGTGGTTATGATCTCATAGCTACTTGCTGTCCCACAACTTAAACACACATCCAGAGGAGACAACAGGACAGGTTTGTGCTCTGCAAACCCTTCAGCACACACTGAGTAGTTGGTGCCCCTGGGGAGACCTGTGCCCATCCCAGCAGCACGGTGCAGCCTTCCCAGTGCAGATGGTTACCAAAGAGGTAAGGAGCAGCTTCTTTTCCTCACTGTTAAGACCAATACCTTGCTCTATTTTGGCTGTATGGCCCCCAGTCCTAGAGAGTCAAAATCAAAGCAAAGTCATGAAATGACTAACAAAGCCAGCAGAGATCTCTCAGGTAAGAAAGTTTATCACTAAAAAGTACTGTCAGGTCTTTCCATGTCCTTTCCTGCCCTAGCAGTGTCTCAAGTGACTACAGAATAGTTTCAAATGTGCAGATATATTTATTCTGTTTGTCTCTCTTTCAGGCCGGGTTTGGGACAGCAGAAGATGGCAACTAGTTTTATTCTAAATCAGGTAATTAGCACAATGCTGCAACCTCTTAATCACTAAATAGCTCTCAAAAAAAAAACATAAAAAATCAAGTTAGGGAAACAGTCTGTTCAAATGGTCCACCAAACAATACAACATTTCTTTTTGTCAGAACCTAAACACAGGACAGACTGTGTGGCCTCTTCAGCGGGAGCCCTGTGACTTGTTGCCAGCAGCACAAGCTCATACATCACTCAGGAGCTCAGATCTCACCTCTCCTGGGGAACCACCATCTGATTGGGGAAAACATGACAGTGTGTGTGACACCGGCTGCAGCTCATGCTGAGTGAGGTTTTGAGATAAGTGTCCTCCTCCATCTGGAATTCACAGGTGCCACCAGGCAGCTTGAAAACACACATTAAATAAAATACTAGTTATTGATAACTCTCAGGTTTTATTCCAAAAAAATTGTAGGCTCTTGCACATCTCAAACAATTAATTAAGTAGCCACGGAGTGACTAATCTAAAGAAAATGTCACACAAACTCTTTTTTTTCCATTTATTTCAGTGCTATGGCCTGAAGCTCAGGTATAGCTTCAGTTGCCACGATATCTGAACAATGTCCTCAGGTCTCATTCAAGGTCCCTCTGTCATTTTTTGGACAATCACTAAAACTTTGGATGTTTCCTCTGCCTATAAGACAAGGATAATGCTCAATGTCCTCAGTGGAGCACTGCACTCTGGAGTCACTTTGGAGCTGCAGAAAGGCTCAGTAAAAGCGTAAGGGCACTGCTGGCTGGGGACCCAAGTGAACTTCCACACACTTCTCCCTCCACAACCTGGGTCCCCTGCAGAGCAGCCAGAGCCTCAGTAGCTGCTCCAGGCAAGCTTCAGGAGAAGCAGATATCTCAGCCAGGCACCTGGTGCAGGCAGAGGTCAGCTGTGCAACACAGCATCCAAAGTGGCTCCAGCAGATGTGGACTAAGCCAGATCTGCTTCGTGCTAGGTAACGAGTTTTACACTTCCAATTAAGAGGCAGTTTTACACTTCCATACAGTACATTAGCTGCATCCTGAATATTTCACCTTCACTGTTCAAGCTTAATAGAGAGCCCTAGAAAGAAATGGAAATTCCAGACGCAGACGTGGGGTTCCTACTGAAGCTCTGCACTGCACTAAGGCATCCAGCTGAGGAAACCTCTGGGAGGAAGAGAAGGACGTCACTCTGCGCATGGACCATTGTGCCTGCAAGACCAAAGGGAACTCGAGCTCCTTTGAAAAGAGACCAAACATATCACTTAACAAAAACAAGGCATCCTACAATGAACCTCCCTTTCCCATATTTATTCCTCTCTAAACACAGCAGTGCACAGATTATAGGAAATGGTTTTACATTTAACTTCAACCCCAAGTGGTAAAGAAACGGATTGTATCTCACAACGTAAATTTGCATCTACCATCATTTAATGGATGTTTTATACATGCTATGTACTACTGTGTTTTTATGGAAAGGCAAAAAAAATTACTTGGGAATTTGTTTTTAATTAAGCAATAAGGCTCAACAGGGTACTGCTATCATGCAATAAAACCACTCCTGGGGTGTTGTGAGGCATTTGGTCCAGATGAGTGCTTCAAATCACCCCCAGATTGTGATTAGATGATTACTCCCTGGAGTTAATATTAGATGGTTCTCTCTAGAGTTGTCTTATTGCTATTATAAAAAGTCTTCAACATGGGGAAACTAAGTAGCTTTTGTGCTTGAAGAAGATGAAGTTCACAGTTTTGACTGTTGAGTGGCTGTCTGAGCTGTGTGGGTCCCATAGATCAATTTACCTACTTAGCATGCGTGAAAGATCATCTCAGTGCATTTCTTTGACCCAAACAGTTTCACAATTAAGTGGCTTCCTTTTTTTCTATGAGATGGAAAGATATAAAGAGATAAATAACTCCAAAATAAAGCAATCCCAAGACAAAGAGCTGAGGAATTTGATTCTGAGATATATATTACTGGCTTTATCTTTTTGTAGGGAATAATGAATTCTAATCACAAATATGCTAATTGTATTAATGAAGGCTAATGCATGCAGTAGTAGTAAAAGATTCTCCCAAGTTGGGTGCATGAGGAGGTGCACGGCCTGAGGCATTTGTGGGGGCTCCCAAGCTAGTAAATTCAAACGGCTCATGGTACAGAGCCAAATTGTGGTGCTCTCCCCTGCCTCCCCCAGCTGCTCTTCAGGGTTGAGGTTAAAGTATTTCATTTTGGAAGAAAAACAAAATCAAAACTAGAGCCTTCCGCACATCTCAGTACACCAGGAAGAACTCTCAGGAAACACTAACTCTTGCAGGCACCTTCCACTGCCAAAGGCCATGAGAGGGGATGGTACCACAGGTGTGCAGTTTTCGCACAGTCTCTTGACCTGCGGTATACAGCAGAGTCCCCCACTCCTCCTTCAGATGTCCCCATAGGGACAAAAAAACCACTCCTATTACACTTCTCACAGAGACAACAAGTTTTACACTTCCAATTAAGATGTGATCCTTCATACTCATTATTTGCACTCTGGTCTTTGTCACATCTCTAGCCTTGCACAACCCAGTGAGTGAGTTTCTCTAAAAGGCAATGAATCTCCTTCCACCACAAAAGATACCTCTGTGGTTCCTCTTTCAGCTCAGCAGCTCTCCTTTTAAGATCCAACATGCCTAAGGACTCTCAGACAAGCTGCGGTTTATCCTTTCGATGGCCAGTATGTCGACAGAACACCTTGAAATACCCATTGCCTTTTTGTTTACCCTTACATTTGAACAGCATGAAAGGAAATAAATATTTCCTTACTTTTTCCTTCCCCTTTCACAGAACCCTCTGCAATACTCACTCAATGCACAAAACTTCCTCCGATGCCCAGGGCGCTCACAACACATGCCCTCCTTCATGGCACTAATGCAGGGCAGGGTGCAAGTCTATGAGTCTACATTTCCAAGCAAGACACAGCTCAACCTGAGCAGCAGGAGGAGAGAGACCACAGCATGTTCTTCACGTAAATAGAAGCCATATCCATGTGCAAAGCAGGGCTTCTGAATGAAACTTATGTGTCTTTGACTAATCAGTCGATCATAGGTGAACACATTTACATCTTTTTAAATTAACTGATGATTATCACATTCTTGTTCCTGTGCTTTTTCAACTGTTTTAATATTTGAAATAGCTAATCTACCTAAGTTTAGTGTTTGAAATACTTAATTGTTCACTATGATTTATCTTCTGCAATAAAAGTATGCTGTGAATATGAGATCACTGTTTAAATAGAACAGCAATAGTAAGGAAAAAGTTTAGATGAAGAATATGCACAGAATAATATTATTTTGGGAGCAAGGTCGAGCCCAAAAGACGGATTACTCTGTTAGACCAACTTTCAGCAGATTTTTCAGAAATGTTTTTCCCTCATATGTATTTCATATTGATTCTCTAACATTATACTTCTCATTGCACTGGCTATTTGCACCTTCTCACAGTTCTGGCATCTTATGAACTCTAACTCACCCCTTTTTCACCTTCCCCTTTTATATTTTGATAAGAACCTCCTTCCATTGCTAGAAAAACACCACCCAGAGATGGTGGTCTGGCAGTTTGCCAAGCTTACTGCTTGCTTTTGTGTGTACCCACCGATCTTCAGAATAGAGCAAACTTCTGAGCTTTCCTCCTTGTGTGCCTCCTTACCAGGCAGCCTTCGTGTGAGACTGGAGATGGCCAAACTCAAGGTGACTGACCCACATGATGGATCCACTCAAAAAACTAACACGAAGTTCAGAGAGTGTATGTGCTGCTGAAGACAAAAAGGAACCACGAGTTAGTTGCACCGCCTGAGAAAAAACAGGCCAAGAAGCCCAGACAAAAATGTTCTCCTTTGAAACACTGCAACAATCTCTTATTACCTGACAGGAGCCAATTTCATAATGCTGGCATTTTTTACGGAAACGTTGCTTCCATAGCTCTTCCATAGCTGTGTCAACATTCGCAGCAGTATCTCACATTTCCAGCACTATTCCACAATCTCTGCAGCACGTCAGTCACAGGATGTGTTTATGTCCACCAAGGCTGTTGAGAATAAATGCAGCTATTAATTTGAGGAAAACTGACTTTACTGTTTTCCTCAAAAAGTGAAACTCGCTTGAGGAAAAGTTTTGTTTTCTTCACTGCCCAGCAACAGATTTCCCCAGGCAGCAAAGTCCATTTCTTCCCTTCTTGCTTGGATCAGATCAGCTCACTTTGCAGCTATAAACCGCAGCTGCTACTTTTAACCAGACAGCCCAGATCTGTGATGGGACACGTGGTCCTGGGCACTCAGCAAAGCAAGGTCAAGGACAGGTGGTGTGGGACGCTGCAGGGCTGTGCTGTAAAGGAAGACTCGGCCACATCTTGGTGGCAGCAGGTTCTCACTCACCTCTTGGTGCTCCCAGAGGTGGCAGTGATATCAGTGCCCAGTCTACCACACTCCTGCCCACCTTCTTGATTTCACAAGTGCAAACTGGTGGAGTTGGCTTGTGCATGCTTTAAAGTTTTCAAATTTCGTGTTTTAGGAATCCTCTATCTGGTACCACAATACACACTGATGGCTTCATATAAAAAGCTATTCAGTGATGAAACGTCCATAGTATTTTTAGACTTAAAAGGGGGAATCTAAATGAAATCACATGTTTCATGCTGATCCAAAATTCAGCTTCAGATCAGATCTTCTTTCCATTTCTGTAATTACCGTTACAGGCCACTGTGAATACAACAAGCTATTAAAACTGAAATTGGCTTACTAGGCAAATCCTTAGCATTCCTCCCTCCCACTATGTTTCACCACTGCTATTTATCACTGAAAATTAAGAAACAAGAAAAATACCTTATCCCTTGACAGTACTGAGATGTGCAGACAACTGCCAAGCCTTAGTACAAACACAAGCATAGAGCCTAAAAATAGAATTGGTTTGTGCATTGACAACCACTTGTATAACACAGTTTTACACAGCACTTAAATTTAGCCTGCACAATTTACCTTTGTGGTTGTGGCTGGTCATTGAGCACCTCAGTCGCAGCTTTATATGATGGGCACTGTGCCAAGCACTGGGTACACATAACCAGCAGAAACAGTGCTGAAGGCCTGTGAAAGGAAGAACCACACACAGCAAATACCAACACTCTCATGACACAAACTTCCAACTTTACAATCTGCAAATGTGAGTGTTTTTGTGCTCTTTGCATACAGTAACTTTTGTAATTTCAGTGATGAATGAGATTTCTGAGCTGGGATTCGACCTTACGGTGAGGAACACAGGGCAGTGAGTCAGGAGCTCCGGGAGTTCTTCTCATCCTCCTGGTAATTCATGCTGAGCTGAAGCTGGTCTGATGTTGAACATGATGGCAGATCATCCACTTCAGTGATTGAGCTGCACGTGACTTTATCTAACTCTCCATGTTTCAGCTTTACTATCTGTAGAAAGGGTATAAAGCACCACATGGTTATTAGAATTTATGCTGTACTTCAAGACACTAAGATTAAAGCTCTGAACATGTACAAAATACAGCCACAATGTTAAAAAGAGAGAAGGATATTTATTGTATAATATTTCTTTACATGAAAGGCTGAGGGATAAGTACATCTCAGAATTGCTTTCAGGAATATTTTCATCACTCTGACAATCATTCTGCAGCCAGATTCCTAGGAATAATTCAAAACGTGAGCAGCTTTGGGTATTTGAGTTTAGGAGAAGCCACGTGGACACAACAACCCTCAAGCTGGTCTGTCTGCCGCTGCTCCAGCCCAATCCTTAGAACTGATATTTTGCAAGGTGACATTTTTAGACCAGATTTTAAATCTGTACTGACAGAGAGGTGCATCAATCTATTTTTTTGCACTCAGACTTTGAAGCACCTCATTTTTCAAGGATACATATGAGGCTGTGCTGATAGGGCTAGCAGAGATGCAAATCAATTACAGCAATCCAAAAATTCCTAAAACGGGCAGATCTCAGCAGATCTCAGCTGATCTCAGCTGATCTCAGCTCCACTGGGAGCTAGATCAGATAAATATTCATCCCTCCAGACACTGACAAGAACATAGGACAGAGATTATTCACTCTTTTAAGTAACTGGTATAATGAACACATTGACTTACTCACTCATTAAGTAATAAGTTCCAAACTCATTTGGACAAAACCTTGAGTAACACTGAATCTCCACAGTTAGTTAAAATCACCAGCTACCCTATGACCATGGGAGATTCCTTCCATCCTAAACTGAACCTCAAAAACTGAGTTCTATTCAAAATAATTCTATAAAATGTCTGTTTTGTTTAGACATGCACTAAGCATACACTGTGCTCAGAATTTAGCAGATGTTTTTGTTACTATTATAACCTAATCTTTTCCTGCAGGCTGTGATAGTAACTTCTCCACTAGAAGATAATAAAGAGCCATTTTCTCCCCTGTAGAGTTTACCTTTGGCTGACTCAGCCTGAGCAGCTGCAGTTTCCCTTACTTGCTTTGAAATTATAGCATCCCAATTGGGCAAGATATTTCTGCTACTGAGAAACAAGCAGTTTCAGAGAAAATGCCAGAGGTAATAGATCAGATAATACAACCAGAGAAAGGTAAAAAGATTTTAAAAGCTGGTAATTTGGACTGCAGCTTCTCTGAGTGGTCTCACAAACATTTAACTTTTACAACTTGGGGGAAAAAAAAGAGCTCCTGAGTTTGCCTATCAAATAGCTGTTACTGGGTGAACTCTGAGTTTGTATTTTAAGGCATTCAAACTAGGATGTGACAGTTTCCAAAACTAAAACGAAAAACAAAAAAGCAGTTCTCAAGGGCAACTAGTTAAAGTAGGAGGCACAGCACATACTTGGAGGCTTCCCTCGGCCTGGGCAGCAGCTGCCCGAACGCACCTGGACCTTTGATGACTTGAGGAGGGAGGAAGCAAAAACCACCTCCAGAGGCGAGTGGCAGCAGCAGCCCATGGCTCCGCTCAGCCACCACGTCCCTGTCGCTGCCCAGGTGAGCCGGCCGCAGCTGGGCATGGGGACAAGAGTCCCCAGCCAACACCACGGAAAGGGTAACCGGGCAGCGGATTCAAAATGGTTACAGCACGTGAAGGGGGAAAAAAACAACTTAAGAGCCTGTGACTGGCTAAATGTGAATCATTCTGGCACCTAAGGCAACTTCTGACATGTTTAGCTCAGGGCTTTGTGCATTTGCAGTTACTTTTGCACATTTTGGCCAGGACTGGCTCCCCAGGCGCGGTGTCCTGGCCTGGGTGGTTGGGTGAGCTCTTCCTTGGGCATGGGGCAACGCTGGGAGCCCACGAGGGCCGGCCGCTTCCCCTGCTCCGAAAGCCATCTCCCTGAACGTGGCCTACCTGGGTCCATCCCGCGGCATCTTCCAAGGGAAAAGAGTGAAAAAAAAGAAAAAAAAAAAAAAACCCTCCAAACCACAGATACTTTGAGGCTTTAGGCACAGGCACCTGGCGGGCTGCAGCTCCCGCGAGGGCTCGCGCAGAAACTTCGGGAAACAGCCATTTCACTGAGCTCACACCACTGAGCGCGACGGGGAGACGCGTGCGGCGCTCGGCAGCGCGGGCCCCGCGGAATGCGGCCCAGAGGCGGCGAGAGGCAGCCGGGAAGCGGCCGGGCTGTCCCGGGAAGCCCCAGCGCCGGCCCCTCGGCTCCCCACACCGCTTCCCGCCTCCCTCCCCCCGGAGAAGAGAGGGGTGGGCGCGAGGGGGAGGGAGGCGGCGCCCCGTGCCGCACCACGGCTCCCCCTAGCGGCGCCGCCGCCTGCCCCGCGCCGCCTGCCCCGGCCGCCCATTGGCCGGGCGCGCGCGGGGGCGGTGCCAGGGCCCGCGGGACGAGGCCGGCGCGGGGAGCGGCGCACGGAGGCGGCGGGTGCTGCGCGCACAGGTAGGGGCGCGACCGCGGGACCCCCTCTTCCCTCGGGGCAAAAAAGAGACTTGTCCGGTGAAGGCGCCGAGTCTGCGCCGCTCCGGGCCTTGCGCGGCGGCCGGGGGATCCGTTTTGGGGAGCCAAGCGGCACCGAGGAGACGAGCGCCCTGGCTCCGTCCCGGTTGGAGCAAGTACCGCACGCCGCGCCGTTTTGCCACCGGAGCGAGTAACTCGTCCGGGAGCCGCGCTGTGCAGCGCCGGGCCCGGCCGCGGCTGCTGGAGCCCTTAGCCCGCGAGTCGCTTCGGGGTCCCGAGCGGGCCGCGCTGGTGCTGGCGGAGCCCCCGCGCAGCGGAGCGATGCGCTCGGGTCCCGCGCGCCCCGCAGCACGCGGGAAGCTCCTGCCCCGCCAGCCCTTCTCCATGCGGGGCCGGCGCAGCCTTCCCAGGTACCGAACGGGATCTCGAGCTCCCCGCGGGAAGGGGCAGCCCGGCGGGAAGGGGCGGCTCGTGCAGGATCCTGGAGAGGCTGAAGGCCCCGGGCATTTTCCGCTGGTTGGTTTGCCGATCCCTCCTCCACACCTGATCCTATGGGCCATCCCTTGCCTTAGGTATACAAGGAAAACCAGGACTGTCACTTTGGTTTGACAGCAAGGACTGAAGGACAGTGGGTGGAGCAGCAAACAAGGATCTTCACCAAAGCCACCCACCTTAGATACATACAGGCTTGAAAAACATACCCGACTCACTGACCCAGGAGCTTAAGTTGAAATGCGCTGCCTGTTTATTAGCACAAGTTACCAAGTGCTCATTGTTAGAAGATGTAACTGACTCCTGGAGTTGTACACGGAAGAAATGGGGTATTTTTTCCCCTTGAATACCAGTCATGTTCACCGAGCTATATGTTCACAGTGTGATGACTGATTGCATGCGAGAGCCAGCATGTCGTGACAAAACGAAACAACTTTTCTATGCCCTGCCAGAAACCCCTGTCCTAAAAGTAGAACACTAGTAAAGCGCATCCTCCTGCCCTCACTAGGACACCTCTTCTTTTTGCACCAGTGTGCAAAATATTAAATTATAATTATATTAAATTAAAATATTAATATAGTCCTGGGCTTATTGTTTGATGGTTATAGATAGTTGACACTCTGAAATGAAATTTAAACCAACTCCCTCAAACATAAAAAGGTAACATCACACAAGCCTCTGTCGTAAGTGTGCCAATATGTGTATTACCTAGTAACTTCCACAATCCTTTTGACCTGGCAGAACAAACTTGGATAAGCAAACAAAAATGTCTACCAAAATAAATCAAGTGGAGTTAAATCTTGATCACACTCATGTTTGAAAATGAGCTGGTTTACATTTTCTGGCTCTTTGCTGACACCCTTTTTATCACCATTAAGAGCCGGTACATGGAAAGCTCTAAGAACAGAGTTGTTCCAGGCACCACACACGCTTGGAAGTGTGGACCACGCTTCTAAAATACAAAGAATAAAACTGAAAGATGCGATCTTATGTAAAGAGCTGGGGCTTTCTAATCTGGAAGCATTAATAACTGAGAAGTTAGCCACAGCAGTACATAGGAGTTCCTAAACAATTTCTTTTATATATGGCTATTCCTTTAGGCCTCTAACCACGGCATATACAGAACCTTCCTCAAATCATTTAATTCCCTGCAAGTCCTGCAGAGCCCCCACAGTCCTTAACGCTTACCGTGGCAGGGGGAGAGGTGACAGCACAATGGTGGTCAAACCCAAATGTCATTTGCTGACATTGAAGAGAGCAGGAATAACAGCTTTGGTTTATCCCATTTGGTGTTGCTGGTGCCAAAAAGTATTTTGTTGCACTTGATGTGTTTCCACACCAAGCTTTCCAACCTGTAATTTCTCGTCTTCTTTTTCCTCTTTTCTTTTTAGTGTTCCTTTCCTTACAACCCGCCCTGTCCAAGCTTTTCTTGGTAAGAAACCTGAGGACAACACATCCCAGCATAGGTAAAACTCCAACTATTTGAAGTGAGGGAGTTTACAGCTGTGGACTGTATTTTGCTCCCCTATACTTCAGCCCATTTATGGCCCAATTTTGTGCAATTAGGAGGGAGGGGAAAAAGAAAGTGCTGCACTGTGCAACCCAAAATAGACTTGTATGTAGATCTTGTAGCAGAACCTCTCCCTCAATATATGGATCCAGTCAGGCTGGCAAATCGCAGAGGGGAATGAAGTCTTTCTCCTCTCCTGACAACAAATAATAAATTCCTTCATATAGCTCCTGAATATGTGTATTGAAATGGGAGGTTCTTTAGGGCATTACTTCAGCCACTGCTCATCTAATCCCACCCTTCCACATCTGGTTCTTCAGAGCAGTGCTTATGATGAGCATCTCGTGACTACAGGCTGTTGGCTCAGCGTTGCTCTCCAGGGAGTGGGGCACGGGCGCATTCTTGCGCTCAGCATGCCAAGGCCGGCCTCCTCCTCTCCCTCCATTTGTTCCTCAGAAAGCACAAAGCTTTCAGAAACACCTCCTTACTCCAGAGCTGCTCATTTCTCTGACTTCTTCTAAAGGTGGTTTCTTATGCTGCTACTGACTCTTTGATGCTTCTTGTTGTAAATATGTACATTGTTGTTAATTTTAAGTTGCATTTCATATTGAAAGACGTGCATGAGTGAATATACTCAGTCCTGTCCAACTCCATCAAATCTATCTGGTGCTTCTGGTGCCCTGAAGAAAAAAATCTTTGCAGAAGGAACGCAGAACTGCTTCTCAATCCCTTCTGTTTGAGGGAGACCATGGTTTTTGTTCTCCTAGTGCCTTGTCAGCTCATATTCACCTTAGGATGTCAGGATCAGAGAAAGTCATGTAAGGTTGTTCTGGGACCGATCGTCACGGAGTAGCTGGGGCTGGCGCAGGCAATGCTCGCGCTCTGGCAGACTCCCAACAAGGCCCTGTGCTGCCGAGGGTGCTGTCTCTGTGGATTAACATGAAATCCCTTTGACATGCAGTCACAGGCGCCAGCTTTTTAGAAGCAGTGGCCACAAAACTCTTCTTGGTGAAAGCTGTTTCTGCAGATCGGGTCATTTCATTGAGGTTTCCTCCTGGGGCTAAACCAGTGCCTCAACTTTCTGCAGACAGCAGGGAAATTCAGCACGTCCTGACCAGCTCCAAAGAAAAATACTCTTACGACTCAGAAGAATTAAGCACTCTGTTAAATGGCTGGGGCAAGAGATAAACAGCGTGCAGCAACCTCGAGCAGCTACTCTGTGGTTTCCCTTCTAGCAGTCTGAAGAAGTGCTTTGGGGTGAAGGGCAAGACAAGAATGTAAATCATCATTATCCCAAAGACACAGGACTCAGCATGGTATCCTCTTCCTATCTGGGTTCCAACATTTCACAGCTGTAAAGCTTCAGTACAAATAGGATGGGAAGAAACTTCTGGACAGGGGCTCTGTATTAGTGATTCTATGAAGTGCTAATAGAAACTAGGGCTACACACATTCCTGTGATCTGTGAGCTACCTCGTGATCGCTGAACTACCTCGCTTTAAGAGGAAATGACTCACTTTCTCGTGGATGTTAGCCAGTATGGTCTTGGGGTATTACCATTAAACACAGAAGGAATTAGGGGCAAAAAAAAAAAAAAATCAACTTGCAAACATTGCTTTCCTTCCTAGAAACCAGGGATAGCAAAATATTTGCTTTTGCTTCAGAGTATCTGTATGTTTTTAAAAAAATCTAGGTCCTAGGAAAATAATGGTATAAGGAAGGATGAGCCTGCTTTCTTCTACTTCTCCTTCAGCAGAGGTCAGGACATTTTCAAAATGATGCATGTTTTAACTGGAAGCACCCATGCCCAAACATAGCTGGGGTAATGGAGGCAGGTGTTGGCTCCCACAGGTTTGTTCACGTGGATTGTGCTTTTTTTAATTTCCTTCGTCATTCAAGGAGGAGAGGCAACAAACAACAGAGCATCCCAGCCCCTTCTTCTAAAACGTTACCTTGGCTCTGGCCCCAAATGGCAGAGCCAGAAATGGGAGACTTGCTCCAAAGAGCATGGGTTTCCTCCCTGCACATGCAGCCACCTACAACCCGTTAGCTGAGCGCACGAGCACGAGGCCCGCACTGGGAGGGCAGGCACAGCAAGGAGACGTGCCCAGATCCTCAAACCATTACAGTACCTCCTGTGCAACTAATTTCCATAACCATAAAAGTACCACCTAAAAGGTGTGTCAGAGCAACCTGCTTTCTCTCTGATGGGAACACAGTTTTACGGATAGAAAAGGCTGTACTGGAACAAGCAATTCTGCATTAGAGGGCTTGCTTTGCTTTAAACTGAACAACTTTAGCTAGCCACTAAAGCAGGTTGGAAACTTGTGTTTATTACTTTTTAAAAGTAATTTTCCACAGTAAAGAGCAAAGAAGAGATTAATCGTAATCTCAGTTTAGTTTTGAAATTTCTCACCTGGGTGAGTTTGCTCGCTGGTCTCCTGCTGGTGCCAGGGTTTGGTGCAGCTTCACCACTTCCGTTTTCTTCCTCTCTGCAGAGCGAGTTGGAGATGGTGGACCACCTTGTAAACACGGAGATCAACAGCCAGCGTATTGCTGCCGTGGAAAACTGCTTTGGAGCATCTGGGCAGCCGCTAGCTGTGCCAGGAAGGGTCCTTTTAGGGGAAGGGATTTTAACCAAAGAATGCCGCAAGAAACCCAAGCCTCGGATATTCTTCCTTTTCAATGACATCCTCGTGTACGGGAGCATAGTGATCAACAAAAGGAAGTACAATTCCCAGCACATCATTCCCCTTGAAGACGTCACTTTGGAGACTCTGCCAGACACCTTGCAGATGAAGAACCGCTGGATGATCAAAACCTCAAAGAAGTCCTTTGTGGTTTCTGCAGCCTCCCTCACAGAGAGGAAGGAGTGGATCAGCCACTTGGAGGAGTGCATCAGGCACCTGCTGACAAAGACGGGCCGGCAGCCCTCCACCGAGCACGCGGCCCCGTGGATCCCGGACAAGGCAACAGACATCTGCATGCGCTGCACCCAGACCAAGTTCTCCACACTCACGCGAAGGCACCACTGCCGCAAGTGTGGCTTCGTCGTGTGCGGAGACTGCTCCAGGCAGAGGTTCCTGATGCCACGGCTCTCCCCCAAGCCGCTGAGGGTCTGCAACCTGTGCTACAGACAGCTACTGGCTGAAAAGAAGAAGGAGGCGGAGGCCGGACTCAGGCAGCCAGAGCAGTTCCACGCTGCCATGCCCGGCTTCGAACCTTCTAGTGGCGATGACAGTGACAAATCTGATGATGACAAAGTAGACCAATGGCCAGCAGACACAGAGTTTTATACCTCAGAAGTATCTTGGTCATCTTTCCATAGCTGACCATCTTGGGAACAAGTGGCATTTGGAAACTGGGAAGCCAACTTCCAGCCTCCAATGCATGTCCTTCTTAATATTTTCTGTGGAGGCCATGCCTGGGAAGCTGGATTTTGGCCTCTGCTTATGCTATTTGTTTTGGGGATAGGGATGGGAAGTTGCCTTTGGTAATTCTGAGAATTTGTGTCATATAACACAAGCTTAGTGAAGAGCAAGGACTAAGGTAGATGAGACCTGAAGATCAGTGCTGGTCCAAATGAGTTCATCTTCTGTGCCCTAGTTTTCCTGTCTGCAAAAATGAAGCAATACTAACTTATTTTCTTAAATGTTTTGAGATCTGCTGTTGGAAGGAAAAGGAGCAAGAAATGATTGATTTTAAAAATGCTTGTCTGCTAGGTAAGAGTTTTTGTCTGTCTTAGCTTAAAGGACCTCCAGATGGGACCTGCTGCTTTTGATGCCTGTTTTCTGTTTTCTTTGTGGAAAAGAGAACTTCCAGGGCTGGCATTTTCCTTAAGCATCTACTTTAAAAAAATCTCATTGAAAGTGTACAAGCCCAACTGGACAGCTTCTCATCTCTGTATGGCAAGATAAGCACAGGCTTTGGTTTCTACGCTAGGTTTTCTGAACCTTGGAAACACTACGGAAATTGTGCTCTGAATGCAGAGAGGTCATATGAGGCTTGATGAGAGCAGCCTTTGCAAAGTGCTGGTACATTCAGTTCTCTTGTGGAAAGAAGCAATTTTGGTGATGACAGGTAAGCAGAAAAGGAGGAGGAGAAAAGAGGGTGGATAAGATTTTAACGTGGAGGAATGAGATAAGGAGGAGGCTTCCTGAAGTTGACTAAACTAAGTGCAGATCTCAAAATAGGTGGATTCACCAGATTACCAAAGTCTTGTTTAACTTAAAATAAAAGAATAGCCCATGGAAGGAGAGCTGCTAAAAGTCTTGAAGGAAGATCCAGAAAATGCCTTAAAATAGGATATTATGAGGTGCAGCATTTCACCTTCTACTTGCCTCCCGAGCAAGGCCCGAGGGAAATGGATGCTTACAGGTGTGCTCATCTCACTTGTATCAGTCTCACCGAGTTCAAGTTAAGATCCTGACTGTGGTTTTTCTCAGGACTAGAGCCTAAGACTTTATAGTTAACTTAATTTGAACTTTTAAGTTCATGTCAGGTTAAAAATAAACCATTTTTACTCAAATATTTTATCCTACTATAGTGTGGGAATAAATATACTGAAAGTTAGACAACAGCAATTGTATTGCAGCAGACATTTATACAACAAAATCTCAATTATTTCTTAGTATATTTTTGTACTATGTATTTTATATTCTGGAAAAGGAACAAGGCTGAGAGTATGCTTCCAATGTTGCGAGCCGTTTCCTTACCATTATCTGGTTCAACTGCCGCATTGCATGCCAAATGGCCAGACTGAGGTTTTTAAATTTATGTTTAAAATAATCATTGTTACTTTTTTGTAAACTGCCATTGTCCAATGAATTTGTATTATGTGAGTGTGAATAAAGACATGGCCAACAGGAGGAAGCCAAAAAAATACAACAAACAGTGTGTGGTTTTTTAACAAGAGTCTTAAGAAACAGTACACATGCTTTGATTTAAGTGTGGCTAGCCCAGCATGAATTCTGATTTTTCAGAAACTCCTCAGTCATGGAATGAATGTTCTGGTCTTCCCTTTGCTATTTTAAGGTGCATATGAGTGAAGAATTGCTAAATCTGATGCTTCCTTTCTGTTTATCCCATTCTTTCATCTGACCAAGTTTTCCAATTCTTTCGCAATCCTCTGCAGTAGTTTATGTTAATAGAAATGGTATTTTTCCGGTGGGGACATAGCTTAGAGTGGGTCAACAAACTTCATGACCTAAACAGATGTTTCTGTTTTTTAAAGTAGTAAGTACACAAAGCTCTGCTTTTCCCATCCCTCTTATAGTTCAGTGCATAACTCTGAGGAGCAGTGATTGTTTTTATAATGTCTCCCACCCACCAGAAGGGTGTATATGAAATGCAAACAGAAAACGACCTTAAAAATAAACAGACATTCGAACAGTTCAGAAGCCAAAAATAGCACAGTTGTTGAATAAGCTTCCATACTTAAGTCTCAGTTCTGTACTCCTTAGACCAGCAAAACTCCCATTTCCCTCCCAGTAATTGGTTCAGAAATATATTCCAGTTTTCAATCTACTCCACAGTTCTCTTAGTGATAAAAAATGCCTTCTTATAGAGCAAGACCTTTTCCTGGTCAGAATCAATCAATCAATAAATAAATAAATAAATAAATACTTTCTGTGCATGTGGTAGTTCATGGCCTTTCCTGAAATGCAGAGATCTTCCAGCAAGCCTCACCTTCCGCTTTCTTACAGAAAGCAGGTATGGAGAAGAGTCAAAAGCTGTGACACTTGAGTAAAAGGGTGACTAGTTACCATCTCCAACACTGGCATTTTCAGTATCAGTCTGAATGTAGCATTTTGGGGCTAGGGTGCACATTGGTACTTGCATATCCATGGACTTCCACAGAGGCTGGGGCCGGAGGAGATCTGAGAGGACACTTCACATGGAAAGTCTAAGTAACCTGTGAGTCCTAAATTGTTAATCTGCATGGTAAGAGGAGTCTGCCTAGGAAAAGATGAGGAAATTCAAACAAAGTCTCCTCTTTTTTTTCCTTCCGCTTTTTAGTTTTCTTAGCTGAGCATGGCTGCTCAGCACTGGGATTAGAGCCTGGGACTCCTGGCTTACAGCCTGCTGAACACATGGGTTTTACATCACTGTTTGTGCTTTTATAGCCCATTTTGGAGTCTTCCAGCCTGATTCCGTTCTATTTCCAGTGTATTAATAGGGCATTTCCTATTTTTTGTTGTTTTTAAAGCCGCATAAATCTATTACTGGAGATTTGTTAAAGTTTGCCAAGGAAAGGATAATAATGCATCCAGAAGAGCAACTGCATTTGAAGGGACAGGCAAAACTGGAATTTTAACACCAGAGCTGCTGAAATTGCTGAGGATTTTCCAGCAAAATGATAGGAAAATGGAGCTGAATGCCATGCAATGACGGAATCCACATCAGCTCTGTAAAGTCAATAGGATAAGGAAAATGCTGTTACTGTGGGAGCCAATCCCAAAAGCAGAATGAAAGGTAACTCAGAGATTAGATTTGATTGTAAAGAAAGGGTCAAAGAGCTTCAACAAAAACCGTGTGCTCAGCCTTCCTGGGAGTAAAGCCAAAGAACCACAAAGTCAAGTGCACGGTGCTGACTCAGCACCGTTCCCAAACTCGCTAAGGCAGTAACGTTAACATGAGCCAGTTTCACTGTCAAATTCTTGCTCCAAGCTACTTAAACAGTTTATCCAGGAAGGAATTTCGGCTCTGCTACAGCCCATGGTCTCTTCAATTCTCTACTGTTACAAGGCTCTTTTTTGTTTTCTTCATCTTGAGTATTTTGGTCAACAACATGAACTGATGAGCACAGAGGGCCAAAACCTTAGCACAGAGGGCTGAGCTTGATCTCAAACAGAAAACACAGGCTTCTATTTTCTGACTTTTTCTTCTCTAAGCCTTAGATATTTAAGAAAGGAGTTAAGAGAAAGAGGAAGTTAAACTGCATTTACAGTCACTTCCACAGAGGACACAGGATTGCAAAAGAGCTCCAACAAACAATTGCCCAACCAACCATGACCTGAGCACTGGAGATGCTCTCCAGAGCCTCGGGGCCGAGTCCCAGGGATTGGGATGGAATTCCCTGTTGGCTCCGAGCGAGCTCCTCAGCTTGTGCCAAATACGATTCACTAATGTGGATGACCAGAATGGACCTCCCCAACCAAAGCAGCAACCAGGAGCACTGGTTAAGGGAAGCTGGCTCAGAGAGGAAGCTTAGTCCAGCCCACTCCTAACACAGGTAGGAGATCACATAGCTCCCCAAGTGCCAGCAGTGACCACTCCAATCTTTCCACCCATAGGGAAGGCCACACTGGCCTAGTTTTCCCAAATCCCTATGAAAGGGGAGATCAGAGGTCTCTGGTGAGTTCCTTTTTCCACATCATGAGGTGAAGCACAGGGTGCAACAAACAGCCTGGTCTGGTTTCTGCTGCACGTCATGTGCAGGGGAAATCACAGGGCTGCACACGTGTGTGAGAAAGAGTCTCTCCTGCCTGAACATCATTCCGTAAAACCCCCAAGAGAAAGAGCAGTCAGTGCTCAGTTCTTGGAACGGCAACCAACGGAGAACAGGCAGGCAGGGAATCAGCAGCTAGTGCTGAGTAACAGTGAGAACTCCCTTTGAAGTTGGCACTTTGTTTTCTTTCCAGTCAGACACAGAAATGGAAATAAGTCATAAGCAGGTTTTCCATAAGCCTCTTGGACAGCAATTCACAGGCAACAATAGCAAGTTACACAATCTGTTTCCAGTTCTCTATAATAGGAAGGGTAGAAAAAGAAGCAGCTAACCGTAAGATGTGGTTCCTAGGAAGCACTCCCGCCTTGTGCCCTCTCTTGCACGGTCCTGCCATGGCTGTGCATGCCCGCTCCGCAGAGGATGCTCCAGCACCGGCTTCCACAGCGCAGCCAGGAGCCCTGCACTGCCGGGGTCCCAGGGCTCGCCTGGTGGAACGCTCCTCACAGCTCTGTCTAGCCTTATTTCTGATTAGAGAACACTTGGTTCCTATTTTCATGAAAGCATCTTTTCTCCTTATGCTTTTATCCTAAAAACAATACGTTTTGGTGAGAAGCCTTAGAAAAACAGGATTTGGGAAGGGAAAAACATTAGCTCAAGGCCAGCCAGGCCTCTCTTTCTCTAATGGAGAACAACTGAAAAGGTCACTTTTTTTTTTTCTCCTCCTTAAATCAGAATAACTACATATAGGGGTAAAGCAAAAGTCTTAATAGTTTCATCTATTAAAAAAAAAAAAAAAAAAAAAAAAAGAGAGAAGAAATGTGACACTGAGGCCTTTCACAGTGTTTTATCCTTCTCCCATCCAAAGCCACCAGAAGGAAATCTCCCATAAGACAGACCCCCAAATAACCATTAGCCTCTGTGACTGCATTCAGCACAGACCCAGATTCAAGAGATACTTGATCTACTCTGACACAAATTCATCTCTTGGATGAATGCCCTAATTGATACGGGATGGATGTGTATTCTGATTGTGAAAACAGATCATCCAAGCATCAAAGAACTAAAATAATCATCAAATACATTCTGTCCCATATTAACTGAATTTTTCACAAAAACAGGTTCATCCAGCTATCCAAATAGCTAATTTATTGTAAGGATAATCGTCACTAACTGCAGTCCCACTGGCATTCAAGAAGCTGTTCTTT